ATCCATCATTAAATCCAGACGATGGAGATTAATTGATACTTCTATGACTACTATCTCAAAAATAAAAAACTCAACTAAAACGAAAATCATTTCACTTTCAAAAAAAAGTTTTAAATCATTTTATCGACATCAGAGTGAATGAGCACAAAAGTGCGTCTCGAAGCTGATGTGTCGAAATTTGACTTCTGAGTTCCAGAGTTATTAAGTATTCACCCTCAGGTCTTTATTTTTTGATAGATTTCCGACTCATTGTGAAATCTTTTGTTTTCCCGTCCTCTTTTATTTGACATATGATATTTATAGAAACAGATTATTGAAGAAAAAAAACCCTATTTGGATTCTTAAAAGTAACGTGTCTATTTCACTTTATATAGGATTTGAAAAATATAGTTTTTCCGGAAGCGAACTAGCATCGACATACTATGTTCAACCAAATAGACATTTATTATCAAAATCAAAAGAAATATCACCAACGTATAGACAATCCAGACGATTTCATTGGGAACAAACATCACGCGATAATCGCGATATAACACCCGATATTCTATCGTATACACAGTACATATCGGTTAGTGGTGGTGATGGTGGTTTCTACAGTCAAGAAGCATGCCGTTTAACTTCTACAATTTGTAGTCACGATTATCAGTGTTGTTCGGGTAAATGTCGCTGTGTAAAATGGGGTACAGTCGGTGCAATGTCATGTTGGAAAAAATGTTTTTAAAACTGTCTGATAACAAAAATGACTCACTCAAGTGCTGAGACTCTACTCAATTGTATCTTTTTGTATTTTATTAAAATTTATTACTACTTTCGTAATATTTTTTTCTATTAGATTTTTTACTTTAAAAGAACTCGCGAAATTTTTGAGATTTCTTGCCTTTTACAACAGGTATTACAAACCTTCAGATTAATAAGCAAAGGAATGAGTCTTGTCTCTTAATGATGGCTGAGATTTGTCGCCGTACTTTGAGGAAACATGATTTATACAGCATACCAGATATGAAACTTTTTAACATGTTTACTTTTTAAAAGAAGAAAAATATGTTCTATATAATTTGCGCAATGTTGAGAAAGTACATACAGTCTATTATCTTATTCTAATATGATAAAAGGTAAAAGTAGTGAGTAATTTCAGTTTTTGTTTCGATTCGAATCGTTCTTTTTCTGTTTTCAAAATCTAGTAAATTCAATTGTTTTTTTTTCGCTTAGCACAACTTGCAACTAAGTTTTCTCATGCTGTATAAGATACAATTAATAAATACTAAAAAAATACTAAGCATACTTATTGTCTGCACAAGAAAATAAGAAAGAGTAATGAATAGTGCAGATTAAAATAATGCCTTTTCAAAGAAGTTTTTTCCACGTTGAATTTGATCAGAAAATTGTTATTTTGATGTCAGAAGATAGACAGAGAAACATGTGCTTTTAGTTCTACCAAACTTTTTCTTCACGATTCAAACACGTCACTAAACATTAGACTACAATCTTAGACTATTAGGTACAAAGCTAAATTTTCGACCATGTTTTACGATTATAAGATGTCTACAAAATATATTCTTTTATCAATCTTCAGTCTTTTCGGTTTGTCCCAACGTAACGGGGTGACATTTTTGACACACTTATCTTTAATTATCTCAAGAACTATAAGAGCCAGAAACCACATTATAGCGCCATTCGACGTAGCTTGCTTTACTCTACTTATGGTGCAAAAATGAAGTTTTTCTGTTCAAGTCTCGAGCTTTCAGAAAGGCTTCTTCAGTGCGTAACGGCGTGACATAAAAGGACCCTAAATTTTGGTGATAAAGCTCTAATTTTCTGCACAAGTATCTATCCAGCTGGAAAGTTTCAAGAGCCAGTTTTGTAGAACATCGAACGAGCTATTCAACGGTAAAACACATTTTCGTCCAACTATTTTTGCTCGGGTATAAAATGCAAAAAGCAAACGTAACGTCGTGACATTTTTCGTAACGGCGTGACACACTTTTTTTAGGCGCTAAACGTTGTTCAAAAAACTTCATATCTATAGTCTGTGTAGTTCTAGGTTTCCTGAAAAGACTCCAGTTGAAAATAAAGTTCAAAAAATTCTGAGGCTTCCAGACTAAGGCGAATATTAAAACACTCAGGCATCCACTGTGTCTCGACTGAAAAATAGATCTCAAAAAAAAATGAGCGATTTTGTAGAGAATTGAATTCTCTATTCAACGGATAGAGAATTCAAAAAATTTTAAAAATTTTTTGGTTAGAAAATTGAAATTAAAGTTTTTAAAAAATTTAAACTAAAATTTTTATATTGAAAATTAATTTTTTTTCTTCAAAGAAAAGTCAGATTCGCAATCAGCATGAAAAACTGCGTCTAGTGATGTGCCCCTATCAATTTTCGACCAAAACACATTCAAAAGAAACTTGATCAGCGAAGTGTCACGTTACGTGGACAAGCCGTTTCATTTGCGAAGAGAATTCTCAACTTCGCCATTGAAATAAGTCAATTTCGTGGGAAGTTCTACATATTGTAGAATTTAAAATTATGCATTCAGTGTTATTAAAACAAAGATTCTTACAAATCAGAGCTCATAAAAACAATTAAAAAAAAAGTACTATGTCATTCGTCAAAGGTTTTTTCACAATGTTTCTAATATTAAAAAGTAGAAAAATAAATAAATGTACCAGAACCGGTAAACCACCAGATAATAGGATTGATCTTATTCTAAAACGTTCCGGATTTTCTAGTTAAATACGTCAAGTACTAAGCTTGCTGTGACTTCCAGAACTTTTGATGCTGCAAACAAAATGATTACTGCTTGTTTTAAGAAAAATATATGATTAAAATCTACGTAATATTTTCTATTTTTTAGCATCAAAATAAAAATTTTCTGATCATATGTAACTTAGAAAAGAATCTTTATAAAAGTCGGTATTTTATTCTGCACCATTCGTTACACAAATATGGAAATATACATGAAAAAAAAAGTAAAAAGAAAAAAAATAATATATAATACAAAAAAAAAAAATCAAGAGAAGAACGAATGGATGTTTGTCTTTTTGTGATAATTCTATATTTAATACTTCATGCCACCTGCTGATACTTTTGGTAATCCAAATTCATCGACTTCAACACCATTCTTAGAATAGAGAGAAATATTTCATAAATAGATCAATGTTAATCCATTCTAACATCAACATACTTTATTTGTAACTCTTCCGGTATCAATTGGCTGTACAGGTACACTCGGAGCTGAAAAACCAGTGACCATTGCTCCAGAGTCCATTCCCAATTCTTCATTTGCAATAGCAAACAATTCTAACATAGAATAAAATATAGAGTAAATATTCACCTAAAGGCTCGTACTGTAGAGTAATGTCTCTTCAATCTTCACTCACCTGCATCAAGTTCACTTTCATCAACATACTGGTCGTTCAAAGGTCGACTCAAAGCTTCATTAATTTCATTATAATCAAACATCGAATCATCCAAGTCATCCATAGTTCTCTAGAAGAAAAAAAAAAATTTTTTTATTATCACCCATTTACATCGACGACAAAAGTACAATCATTTGCCCTACTAAACAACTCTAATGTCACTTTAATTTTCAAACAGATAACTATCCTCAAACACTGTATCGTCAAAAAAACAAGCAATATGCTGTAACAACTTTCTTCGTAAGTTAAATGTCATATCACTTACTTCAACTTTATTAATATTGAAATCTTTGAAACCTTTTTTCAACTGTTTATTTGCATCTTTCATTCCATTAAACTAGAACAACAAGAACAAAATAATTATCGCTAGACTGAATGACAGCGAGTGTTGATAACAATACAATTTGCTTATTTGTTTCAATATTCGACAGAGCAAATGCAGTTTGACCAATATTTGCCGATTGTCCTTCAATTTGATTTCGTTGACCTTCAAGCCTTTCAATAATAGACAAAAATTGTAATTATCTGGGTCTTTACAACACGTAACTTACATTTTCTTTTGTTGTAACAGACGTAATGCTCGAGCTTTTTTAGCTGCCTATAAACAAACAGATACCATTTTTACTACTGAATAACTCTGATAATAGTGTCTTACTTTTTGACCTGGTGGTAATCGACCATAAGCCGCTAATTCGACATCTAATTCAGCAATTTTCTTATTTATCGTTCCTACTCGGCTATCGAGGTTGGCAGCCGTATCGTTCAATGTCGGCTTCTGCGTAGTAGCTTTTCCAGCACCAAATAAACGATTCATAACTGTAGTTCGTTTGTTTGTTAATAATAATAAAAAAACAAGACACGAATAAATATGGTGAATCTAAAAATATATAACTGAGTGGAAATCAGAAGTGGAAAACAGACACTCTTTTTGTGAGTAAGTAAGAAAGCCTACCATTCGAGAAACTGAAAACTGTGTCATTTATTGATGACTCATGACTTTTCACCATGTGACTAATGAGTGACAGAAAAAGTTAATTCAAGACGTAGACAACTCTGCGGCTGAATTAATAAGCATCTGGACTTTCATCTTTAATTCAATCTGAGAGAGATGAACCAAACATCTCAAAATATTTTTTTTCTGAAGTAGTTTAGAAACCAAAAACGTGATTAAACACACTTATTACACGGTTAAATTTATTAAATTTTACATCCAACAAAGTGAGAAAGCTAAAAGAGAAATCTAGAGAACCTTCCCTTCAACAATGACCAATATTAACAAACAATTTTTCGTTCTACATAATATAAACTTAAATTCAATTGAGTGGGCTTGAAGAAGGCGCAGGTAGTAAAGAAAAGAAATGACTCATATCTGTGCTACAGGTCAACGACAGATGATAAACGTAGATGTCAGCCGTAATCACAAGATTTACTCAAGGTTGTCTCGAGCGCCACGTCTTATCCTAAATAGGACCAGAGTATCATTTCATCAATATTGTTACGTAGCACTTAAACTTGAGTGAGTACTTAATACTCGGCTTAATTCTTGGTGTTTTTGTAAAAAAAGTGATGATGTAAATCTTCACTGTGACGCCAAGTTCCCAGATGTCCCTCCATAACCATTTGCTAGGAAACGGACATTTATTGTTAAATATCTTGTAAAAATTCTAGTAGTCTGCGCGAGTATGAATATCGAGTACACGATAAGTTAAACGCAGTTAATACTAACAGTCGCAAATAACCATACATATTAAATTCATCGTTGATTCATTGCCGAGTGTTTGAGGATGTTTTGAATAATGCTTGATATAGAAAAGGTGAAGACCTGCAGTTTGTCTACACCAAAGCTGGAAAATGTTAGTAAAGTTACTGTTTCTATTTCAGTATGTCATGAGTCTAAAGATCGCTAAAATGACGATTAGTAGAGACCTGCAACCCTAACTGATCCTAGGATCGGAACGGGTTCAGGTTGAACCTTTTACGACGCAATTCAAAATATAGATAATAGTTTCTATTATGTATTACTCTTTGGCTTAACAGTTATCTCTACTGGAATTTCAGTTGAGATAAGTATAAGTACAGCAAAGCATAGTAACAAATGTATGGATTTTTTTTCTATTACTACCTAACAAAACATGAAAAAATATAGCGCCTGAACAATGGCAGTGTTTTCGAAATAAACATCAAACATTTTCTAAGTAGATCATTCTGCTAAAACATTCGAATATTTTGGCAGATATGCGCAGACCTGCCATACGAAGTTTACGAACTTCTTCAGATCCGTCAGTCCGCTTTCATAACTTATACCCTAATCGGGATAAAATCCCGATCGGCCTATACGATATATGTCTATTGGGCTACAAATCCTGATCGGGATATTCCGTATAGCCCAATTGATCTATAAAAACAATGAATGCTTTTTTGGGGATCCGTTTTATCTTTAAATAAAATATGGACAATGCCATTCGAGAGAGCGTTCAAAACCGAACCAGATTCCATGAGAGTCTGTTATAATGCATTGCTCAGGGTACTATGAAAAATTCGATGAAAGCTCGCACATCCTGATCGGAATATAAAATATATCCTGAACGAGTTGTTTTTGATTTTTTCAAAAATCTTTCGTTTTGGGGAAAAATAAGCTGATAATTGGAATTTACAAGCACCATCAGATAGAGCACTTAAAACTGCTTATAAATGATTGAGGATCTCCAAGTACCGAATGCTGACAGCCTAGAACAGAAAGGTTTTGTCAACGTATCGATATAAGCTGCATAAACACTTTTGTCACTCTCTGTTGTGGTGTGGAACAAAGGTTTCAAATATAAAATCAATTGATGGCAAAATATGGTCGTCTGTTGGCACATTAAGTAAGAAAGGAAAAAAATTACTTTTATTAAATTTAGTTACGGTGCATGTAATGGAGAAATAAAGCAAAATGTTTTGTCTAACTTATTATACATCATTTGATAGAGCTCATCGAATTGATTAAAAAAATGTATTTCACAATTTCAAAAACAATTTTTTCATGTCGAAAAATCGAAAATACCCCTGGGACATAAAAAGTCGAAAAATCGCTAAGTTTCAATAAAGTTTGAATTTTCGTCTTGTTTGTTCTTCTAGCTTTTTCAAATTTGTACTTTTCTGATTGAGCATTAAAAACTGAATGTACAAGTGGTGTTTGATCAATTCTGAAGTCAAAAGCTTGTTCAGTATGGACACTTCTAAAATGTGAGGAAGGGGTTTTGTAAACCTATCTGATTTTTTTGTGTTAAGGGCACCCACTCTCCTCTCCTCACTCAGAAAAAGAAATTTTCGTCGAAAAAATTGATTTTGGGATTTATATATGGTAGAAGAGTCCAAAGTGTCCTCTTTCCATCGCACTAATGTTTATGCCTTGAAAAATGGCTTTTGATGGTTTTCTGAATACTATGGTGAACTATTATTGTATTTCTTTCCTTCTTCGTTTTTCATTTCGTAAACTTGTTTCACGTTTTTCTCAAAACCTCTTTTTATGGCTATAGCGTTTCTTACTTCCCAGAGATCTCCGTCATTTTCCGAGCTAGAAATTTCGGACTGGTTTCAAAAAATAGAGAAATGTTTTTTCTACGTCGTGACGCCGTTGGAGTTTTCAATTTAAGTTTAATTTAGGAGAAATTTAAAAAGTTTCCGAAAAGTAAATAAAATCTCTCTAACTTGTCGGAAACTTTTTAAAGTCCTCCTAAACTAAACTTAAACTAAACCTTCTAATGGTATTACGACATAGAAAAAACATTTCTCTATTTGTTGAAACTAATCCGAAATTTTTAGGTAAAAAAATGGCGGCGAAATCTTGGAAGTACGAAATCATACTTTTTCACCACTAATCTAACAATAACTCTGTGAAAACAAGTGATAAGAGGCTGCAATTAATAGAATGACTAAGTTACCTCAAGGTACACATTGTCTAAAATTTTCATCAAGGTTGAATGTTCCTGGACGAAAATAGATTCCTGAGTGGGGGAGTGGGCCTTAAGCGATGGAGCTGTTATATTTTTTGCATCTCGATAGATTCGCCGAAAGGTCAGCTTTAAAAGTACGGCTCGCTTTTTCTAAAACTTTGACCCTGCGAAAGTTTTCCTACATATTGAAGACTCTTGAGATCGTGATTGAGAATACTAATATTCTAAAACGATCATTCCACATGTGATTACCTAAAGGCGACTATAAATTTCACGGTAATTTTTTACCACAGAACAGGATATATGTAGGTTTGTGGAGAAAGATTTCCTCTATTTAGTGATATATATAGTATCAAATTTTGTAGCGCATCGTGAGTGAAAATTAAAGGTAATGTCTCTTTTTCTAGACTTATTTTAGAAATATTTTTCATTTTTAAGTTAAATATTGGGCATTATAGGGTAAAGTGTCCTCTACAAAATAAGACCAGTCCCAGCTCTCCAAGGCCTTCCATTGAGTCGGGTAGAGTAAAGATTTCTCTACAAAATGAGATAACTCTTCACCATATTTTCTGATAGAGTTATCATCATTTTGGACGTTATATCACAAATGTGACTTTTTCAAAGATTTCCAGCAAAATGTTGATAACTCTATCAGAAAATATGGTAAAGAGCTATCTCATTTTGTAGAGAAATCTTTACTCTACCCGACTGACTGTTTCAAAAGTTTATCAAGTACTAAATGGAAGAGAGAAAAGTTTCGAAAGTAAAAGGGGTGGTACTACCCGTTGAACCCGTTCTGGTTCAAGATTAAAGCTTAAACTAAAAACAAAACACAACACAACACAATAGAAAAAAAAAATATATACATTGAAGGATAACATCGAGTCATTGCACAACTTCAGTCATTGTGCAGAATATAGGAAAGAACAGCGAAGTTGATTTTTGCAGTTCGTCTGCAAAGATCACATTCGTGTGTTCGATCCTAGCTTCGTGCAAGGATTGATTTTGTGTTTTGATAGTTTAAGTTTCAGAATGATATAATGGGAATTTATATTCTCGATTTCGTT